TCTCTTTTTGGTCTAAATGCCATTCTCAGCCTTTTACAACTTATTTAGGCCACAAGTGCAAAACTCTTTCATAAAACGATGTAAATTTGTAAATTAACTTGCTGTAAATCTAGGTAAACGATTCAAAATGAAGTGGGCTACTCACATGACTTCCAGTTCCAATGCTAGTTTTCTCTTTCTCCGATGGGTAACTCGTAACATGTCTTTTAACATGATTTTGAAGAGCTTTTGCATGTATTAAATCATTCTTAGTAGTTCTGCGAATAAGAACCGTTCCACGTGGACAAGTGGTGTTCTTGTGCAAATTTGAATTAATGGTCATACCTTCTGGAAAACTGCTAGGTCTCATCTGCATTAAATAATTCTTTCTATCAGTTAATTCATTGAATAAAGAGAAATAAAAATATCAAACTACTAAATAAAATGAGTCACGTACTAATAGATTTATTTCAGTAAAGATTATATACGTTTTAGTAACAAAGCTTTTTTCCTTGTTTTCCTAATATTTGTGAGTAAAAATTGTTTAACTTTAGCCAATTCCTAAACTAGTTTCATAATAAAAGTATAGGGTAAATAAGTTTTATAGCAATGTGACATTGGATAATTTTATACTTTTCGTACTTTCTAATTATAATCATAAATAAAACCCAATTCAGAAATATTCTACAGTACCAACTTCATAATATTTTACTAAAAAATATAAACAAAGAATCAACAAATGTGACTTATTTTCTATATAAATCAATATTACAAATCTATTAATGCTTCTCTTTTTTGGTACGATATCATGTAACTTTTTTTTATAATAGAGTAAATTACACTTAATACCCTAAGGTTTTCCTCAAATTTCCCTTAAGTATTCAGAGGTTCAAAACTCTTCAGATAATGCCTAGGGTTTCTCGACATTAAAAAAGTAACCCATCGTTAAGAAAAAGAGTAAATGATAGAAATGTCCCCACCCCACTTTAATACACCTACTATAGCGTGCTAAAACCTAAAATGAATAGAACTCTTCTAAACTCTCCCAAATTCTTTTAAAATTATCCAAATTCCCCCAAATTGACTACGAGTTAGGTCATTTCTAAGCTAGAATGGTGATATAGTGATTACACAGTCTAAAAGTCAAGATAGAAATTTCTACAAAGAAAAGTAATTTAATATGTCAAATTAAGAACTAATTTATAAAATATACATGGGTAGTGCATATAGCTATAGAAAGTAATGTATATATCTTCATAAAAATTTTATAGTGAGTGACCAACTATAATCATCCTAAATTAAGCATAAATAATAATTATTTTAGTTACTAATTTGATTCGAGTAACTATGGAATAAATCTCCAGCAAAATTAGAAATTGAAATTGTATTAGGCTGTAGGTAAATAAATAGATGTTATTAGAACTACTTATTATATTAAATTTAAATGTAATACTTTAAATTATTAAGCATCAAATATGAGCTCATATGAGAAAGTAAAGTAATCTATGGTCTATATGAGTATACAGTCAATCAATCAAACGTATTAAAATTATGATGACCACAGTCAAAATTATATGGTGGGTTCACATTAAATATAATTTATAAAAAATAGTACATTAAAGTCAAAATCTTTTTAACAACTATATAGATTGTCTGAAAATTTCTGCATATATAAACTATATTGCCTAGGAATAGTAATGTGTACACTTAACTATGGTTCAATATTCTTAAAATCGACTTATTCTTCAATATCATCATTAATTGTTGAATAGTAACACTGGGAAATAAGCAAAATTATGGTAATTCCAGTCAAGCTGATATTATAATGCAGAATTCTACAGGAATACATACCCCAACTTCTAGTCAAACTGGTATTATAAAGCAAAACTCTGGCTATCATTCTCCCTCAATTAATATCAGTGGATTTACTAGTATTTCCAGAAACTATGTTGCTAGAAGATCAATCATGGATGATGGTAGTCTTGCTCCCACTCTTTCTCAAGCTTCACAGTTTGCATTGCTGGAGCAGTTTGACCCCTCAAATGTGGACAGGGGTAAGACTACTCAATAAGTATGCATTTTGCCATATGGAATATTAGAGGATTGAACAAATCCTCTAAGCAAGTGATAGTAAAGCAATTGATTCATGATTATGAGCTCTCCTTCTTATCTCTTTTTGGAAACAAAAGTAGCTAATAATAAGATGCAAATTATAGCAAAAAAATTGACAAAAAACTAGAGTTGGATCTCTAATGTTCAGCTTACTAGTAAAGCTAGAATTTGGATTCTTTGGGATGATAATGTTCTTTCTGTTCAATACACTTCCTCCACTGAACAATATATAACATGCACCATATCTTCTAAAGATGGCAAGTTTTATTGCATTGCTACTGTTGTCTATGCTTTGAATGACCAAATTGGCAGGAAAGCTCTCTTGCATGATCTCTTACTACTCAAGCATAGTGTAAACTCTCCTTGGATTGTAGGTGGTGACTTTAATGTTGTTATCAGCAGTGAGGAGAAATTAGGGGGATCTCAAGTCACTAATTCTGATACTGAAGACTTTGCAAGGTGTATTAACTCTTGTCAATTGAATCATCTTAAGTCTACTGGATGTTTCTTCACCTGGTGCAATAAACAAGAGGCCAATGCCAGAATTTGGAGCAGACTAGACAGGATCATAGTTAATGAGGAATGGATTCTTAATTACATTTCTAGTCAAGTTGATTTCTTGGTGCCAAGTTTATCTGATCACTCTCCAGCTTTGTTAACTATTGGCGATGAAACTTGTGAGGGTAAAAAACCTTTCAAATTTTTTAGTATGTGGATCAAGCACCCTAGTTTCCATGCTGTTGTTAAGTCTGTGTGAGACATTGATATTAGGGGATTCTATATGTATAAACTGGTCACAAAGCTAAAAAATCTCAAATCAGTTTTAAAAGATTTAAATAAAAGGCACTTTATGAATATCAGTGAACAGGTCATAAGAGCAAAGGGGGATTTGACTGAGGTCCAGCAACAGTTGATGAATGAGCCATTCAACTCAGATTTAATTTCTAAAGAGAAAAAAATGTCCGAGCATCTACACAAGAAAGGTGGATTTTGAAACTTCCTTCTACAGACAAAAGGCTAGTATCAGATGGGGCATACATGGTGATAAATGTTCTCAATTCTTTCACTCTGTTATGAAGGTAAAAAGGCATCATAATAAGATATTATCAACATACAATCATAGAGGAGAGAGAATTACTAACATTTCAGATATTATAGAGGAATTCACTACTTACTTCAAGAATCTCTAGGGTTACTCTGGATCTACTGCAGAGGTTAATGCTAAAGTGTTATCTAATGGTCCCATCCTTTCTTCTACACAGTCTAGTAATCTTAGTGCTCCAATCACTAGAGATGAAATCAAACAGGCATTATTTTAAATGGACAATGAGAAAGCACCAGGTCCAGATGGCTACACTGCTGCATTCTTCAAAGAATCCTAGAATCTAATAAAGGAGGATCTTTTTCTTGCTGTTGAAGAGTTTTTCAAAACTAGTAAACTTCTTAAAGCTCTTAATGCTACATCTATTACCTTGGTCCCTAAGATTCTCAATCCTAAAACCCCCTCAGATTATAGGCCAATTTCTTGCTACAACTGTTTATATAAAATCATATCTAAAAATATTGTTACAAGAATTCAAGGAGTGATGGGGACTCTTATCAGTGATTCCTAAAGTGCTTTTGTTAAAGGAAGGTTTATTTCTAGTAACATCCTCTTAGCTCATGAATTGATAAAGCAATATGGCAGGAAACATTCTACACCAAGGGCAATTCTCAATATTGATCTAAGAAAGGCTTTTGATACAATTGATTGGAACTTTATTAAAGCAATACTCGCTAGATTGGGCTTTCCAGATATTATGACCAATTGTATTATGGAGTGTATCTATTCTCCTAAATACTCCTTATCTTTGAATGGTTCTTTGCATGGTTATTTTAAAGGAGCTAGAGGTTTAAAACAAGGACATCCCCTGTCTCCCTATCTTTTTGTTTTGGGCATGGAATATCTATCTAGAAGATTAAATTCCCTTAAAAATGATAAGCTTTTCAGATATCACCTAAAGTGCTCAAGGCTCAAAATCTCCCATCTTTTCTTTGCTGATGATTTGTTACTATTTTGCAAAGCTGATATCTACTCAATTGCAAAACTAAAAGAATGCCTATCTGAATTCAGTCAAGTTTCTGGGTTGGTGACTAATCCAAATAAATGTTCTATATATATGAGTGGTATTGGTGAGGATCTGAAGACCTATATCTGCTCTCTTTTGAATTTTGCTGAAGGTGTTCTACCAGTCAGATACCTGGGAGTTCCATTAATTTCAAAGAGATTATCATGCTTAGATTGTTCCCCCCTGATTGATAAAATATCTGCTCAATTTCAGAGCTGGCAAAAAAAGAGAATGTTGTCCTATGCAGGAAGATTACAGCTTATCAAATCTGTCATCCTAGGCATTCAAAATTTCTTGACCAGCAACTATGTTCTGCCAACAAAGGTATTGAAGAAAATTGATAGTCTCTGTTCAGAATTCCTATGGAATCATAAAATTCACTTGATTTCCTGGAAGACAATTTGTCAAAGCAAGGAGCATGGAGGGCTAGGGGTATTCTCTACTAAAGTCTGGAATCTTATAGCTGTTATCAAGCTTATTTGGATGATACATCTCAAGAAAGATTTGTTATGGATTAAATGGGTTCATGGCAATTATCTTAGACAGTCCAATATTTGGCAAGTTCAAAATAAAGCAAATGATTCTTGGATGTGGAAACAAATAATTAAAGTGAGAGATAAGGTGATTTGCAAACTGGGGGATGCTTCAAATGTTCAAAATATCATCAGCAAATGTTGCTCTGGAGGTTATTTCCAGATATCTTCTTTTTACCATGAGCTCATCAATCAAAATGCAAATGCACAAATGGTTTGGTCTAAAACAGTCTGGGATGAATGGTCATATCCTAAATATTCTTTCATCTCTTGGCTTGCTATTCATTCTAGACTGTTAACAAAGGATAGATTATGTCACATGAGGATCCTTGACATCAATCAACAACAGAAAGTCTGTGTTTTGTGCACGTTTCAGCAGCAAGAAACCTGCAGGCATCTCTTCTTTGAATGTGCATACTTAGCTGAACTCTAGAATAGCGTTATGGAATGGCTGAATTACAAATGGAAGTCTTGCAATTGGGATACTATTATTGAATGGTATAGTTCTAAACTGAAAGGGAAGGGGTTTATGAAGAGAATTAAAAGAATGGCTTTAACTGTATCAGTCTATGCTATATGGAAGGAAAGAAATCAAAGAATATTCCAGCAGAAAACTT